AACACTGGAAGTTTTAAAGAAGAGATTGGATAACCATTTGTCTGAAGTGATGTAGGGTTTCCTGCCCAAGCCGGGGGTTGGACTAGAAGACCTCCGAGGTCCCTTCCACCTCTGTCATTCTGTTGTTCTGATTGTGGACCTCCCTCCCCAGATCCCAACCTTCTAGACTTTGAAAATGGAAATGAGGGTCCGGTTCCCATGGATGAGCGAAACCAAGCAGAGGTTCAGCAGGGACGCCGGTCCTTGAGCCAGGAAGGAAGCCAAGGCCCCAAACGCCACGCTCGGCAGCTGACCGAAGAAGACTTACCGGTCAATGACTACGTAAGTCTCCGGAATTGAAAAACCAGGCCATGGTCACAAGGCAATTCTCGTGCCCGGCCTCCAAGCCAAGTGGAATTTTCCGCAATCTTTTCCGCAGAGCTGAAAAGTCCTGCTCCTTCAATTAAACAGCCCCCCGATAGCCCTCGGAAAATATGCGGAACCTTTCTTGCTTCAAAGCGTTGTGAAATCTGAAAGAACGGCAGAGGACGCGAGAGGCCAGAGTAGCCAAAAGACGCGGGCTAGGAATTGGCACCAGAAAGCGAGAGTCAAGGAAGGAATTAACAAAAGGAGGAGTAAGAGTTGCAATGGAGATGGGTTAGGTTGCATCCTGCCCTTGCCAGAAACGATTGACCTAGAGGGGGATGGAAGATGCAGGAAAGAGATGCAGCATTGTGATGATGTACAAAGGACACTACCCTGATAAGGAACACGGGAAGCTGCCCTAAAGCAGATCCAATTACCTGTCCAGCAAGGGTTCACCGACAAAAGGGCGAACGACAAAACCGCGCCAGACTAAACCACGAATTCTAAACCGCGCCGACGAATGAGCGCTGAATCGCGCCGACAACAGTGCGGCGACAGAAGCGCGCTATAAACCTAAACCTAACCCTAACCCTAAATGTAACGCTAACCCTAAACCTAACCCTAAACCTAACCCTAAACCTAACCCTTACCTTAACTTAAATCACCCTTAAATCACCCTTCTGTCGACGCGCTGTTGTCGGCGCGTTGATGACGTCGCGGTTTTAGCGACGCGGTTTTGTTGGCACGCTTTTGTCGTGCGTGCTTTTGTCAGGTCACGTCCAGCAAGCTCAGCCTTCCCTGTTTGGAAGCTTGTCTCTCTAGCAATAGCAATACTAATAGACTTATACCGCTTCATAGTGCTTTTACAGCCCTCTCTAAGCCATTTACAGAGTCAGACCCCTATTGCTCCCCTCCCCAAACAATCTGGTCCTCATTCCCCCCCCCCTTGGAAGATGGCTGAGTCAACTTTGAGCCGGTCAGGGTCGAACTCCAGGCTGTGGGCAGAGTTAGCGTGCAATACTGCATTCTAACCACACCAGATTACAGCGCTTATATAGCAATAGCAATAGCTTATACTTATATTCCGCTTCACAGTGCTTTTATAGCCCTCTGTAAACAGTTTTAGAGTCAGCCTATTTGCCCCCAACAATCTGGGTCCTCATTTTATCCACCTGGGAAGGGTGGAAGGATGGGTCAACCTTGAGCTGGTCAGAATCGAACTGTTTGGCAGTGAGTAGTGAGTTAGCCTGCAATACTGCATTCTAACCACTACGTCACTACGGCTCTTCTATAGCAATAGCTATAGCACTTAAGACTTATATATGGCTTCAGGGTGCTTTACAACCTTCTCTAAGTGGTTTATAGTCAGCCTATTGCCCCCAAAAATCTGGGTCCTCATTTTATCCACCTCAGAAGGACAGAAGGCTGAATCAACCTTGAGCCTGGTAAGATTTGAACTGTCAAATTGCAAGCAGCCGGCAGGCAGCAGAAGTAGCCTGCAATACTGCACTCTAACCACTGCACGGCTCTAGCTAATTTTGGAAAGAATCGATATAATCCATCACCTTGGCCCTCCTGCCCACAAAACAGGATGTAGTCCCAGTAATGGCAGTTAAATCATTGTGAAGTCCGCTTGGCTTCACTAGTGAATGTAAGCCACCAAAGCAAGAATCAAAGGAACATCATGTGAATTTTATCACTATTGCCTGATTCACAGAATCAGGCAATAGCAACAGTGCATTTGTTGATTGGCTTAGCCCAGAGGTCAGCAACCTGCGGCTCTGGAGCCGCGTGTGGCTCTTTCATCCCTCTGCTGCAGCTCCCTGTCGCCAGTCGGCTCCACAATTGACAGGGCTTTGGGTTAGGACAGGTAGAGGAAAAAGGATGCCGTGCTAGGAGAAGACTCTATGGTGGTGGGGGGATCAGACTTCTGGTCGGCAGAGGAAAAAGGACGCCATGCTAGGAGGAGACTCTATGGTGGGGGAACTGGACTTCCGGTTGGCTCCAGAATTGAACAGGGAGCTTCCGGTTAGGCCCTTTGTGGCTCTTTTGAGTGTTTAAGGTTGCTGACCCCTGGCTTATGCCCTTGTATAACCTCAACCGAAGACAGTTCGCACTTGGTGGGAATCCATCAGCATGTCCCTTAGATCAGGGGTTTCCAACCTTCGCGACCCATGTTGGCTGCAGAATTCTGGGAGTTGAAATCCGCAAGTTTTAAAGTTGCCAAGGTTGGAGAACCCCGTCCTTTGGGATGTGCCGATGGATTCCCACCAAGTGCAAACCCATGGCTGGTTGAGGAATTCTAGGCGCTGAAGTCCGCAAGTCTTATTAAAGCTGCCGAGTTGGAGACCCCTTCTGTAGGAAACCATTGCCCCCCCTCCTCACTTTCTAAGTTTTCCTTAGGCCAGTCAACTTCAAGCTTGTGCTGGTCAACCCAATGAGTCAATTGTCTCCAACTCAACTCTTTGTTCCTTCCTCCCTAGACCGAGCACGGCTTCGAGTTCCCTGACCATTGGGACGAGAGGGGATACTGCTGCGCCCGCTGCCGTCGAGCCCACCGCTACTGCCGCAGAATATGTGAGCCGCTGCTAGGGTACTACCCGTACCCCTACTGCTATCAGGGCGGGCGAGTGATCTGTCGTACCATCATGCCCTGCAATTGGTGGATAGCGCGGATGTTAGGGCGGGTGTGAGCACACTCCGTCCAAAAGTAATAATAATAAAAATAAGCTTAGTGCAGCGCCAGCCCCATTCTGGCCGTCTCCCTGTAGACTTTTCTAGGAGTGTCATTAGCATGAATGTATGCGCGCATTCCTGCTAGAGCCGCTTGGGTGGCCCCAGATGCCATTATCGCCTGATCCTTCTCTCTGCCCTTTCCTTCCCCCACGCCCCCAAACTGTATCCTTTATGCAAGCCATTTCTCTGGATCGTATTTTTTTTCCTATGCTTTTGCGCCCCTCGGATATATTATTCGGCGTAAAGTTTTCTGCAACGCATTCAAGTTGACGACTGTGGTTGTTTTCTTAAGCAGCAAAAAAAAAAGTGGAGGTTTTTGGAATTAGCTATTTTAAACGGGTTTGCAAACTGCAAATCAGATCGGTTCCCTATAGAAAGGGAAATGAAAGGCCATTTGAGGGGCGGGGGTGTCTGCTGGTATTGCCAAACTGGAACCAAATGTTGCATGCATTCCATAATTGAAAGCAAGGAATCTCTTTACACCAGCATTCCCCTAAAAATCCGCAAGAGGGCATCCTTTACCTGGAAATAAACAGCATTAGCTCAGGGTCAGGAAAAGCTAGGAGCGCATTTTGCAAACTGTGTTTTCGCAGCTTCAGCGGGAATCCTTATTTTTTCACACTCACCCCCCCAAAAACTGTGTAAAAAAATGCAAATTAATTTCAGGAACTTAGGGTGTATGTCCAAAAATATATTCAGGTAATCCTCGTTTAGTGCCCTTAACTGAGACCGGCAGTTCAGTCAGTAAGCCAAGAGGTGGCTAGTTAAAAACCACAACTGTGCTTAAGATCTTCCTTCAACAATAAAGTTTCCAGTTTCTGGCAAAAAAATTTCCCTTCAGCAAACAATGGACACTTAACAACCACGGTGTTTGCTTTGTGACCATAGTGTTCTCTTCAGTGCTGCAAAACAGATCATAAAATCAGGTATGGGGACTCTCTTTGCAACCGTCACAACTGACAACCAAAAATTACAGGTTCAATTACGGTTGTAAGTTGAGGATTTACCTGCCACATCTTAATTTGCAGGAAGATTAGAAACGAGCATGTGTATATTTCCAACATTAACAAAAAGAGCAATTTATCCCCAGAGACACATCACACGCTAACGACCAGAGGAATCCAAATATTTGCTGAATTGCGACTGTTCGCAAGAAATCAAGACGACCAAGCGATGTATTTAAAGAGCTTTCAGAATAAAAAAAGTGTATAAAGGTTTATTATGCGTCCGGGAAGATTCCTCTATCGAATACAAACAAAAGAAAAAAAGAAATATTCAAAGCATCACATAATACTGATGATGAAACCATACTCAAAACAGATGCAGAGTGACAGCTAAGATCAAGGACTCTCCCGACGAGTCTTAAAAATAAACACACACAGACACACAAAGATCACAACAACTCAGTTTCAAAGGCATCACTGAAATATGAATTTGTTTTCAGAGTAGAAATTGTTCCCCAGATGTGGGACGGGGAACCAAAGGAAACCTCTCCTTTCCAAAGAATGCCAGGGGTTTTCAGAATGCAAGGAATTAGCACCAAATACCGCTCAGGTTTTTTTTTTGGGGGGGGGAAGGGCATAGGACGGCAGAGGAAATTGGAAAGGAGGCCAAGAGGAGATTTTTTTTTCCCAGACCACAATTCAACGTAGATTCAAGCCAGGTGTCATCTGTTGAAGTAGCTTATTTATGTACAGTGGTAGTTGAAACTTATTTAACTGCAGCGGTACACCTCGGTACTTGACTGCACCAAAACCTGGGGACTTGACGCATTTTGACATGAAAATGTGCCTCGTTACTCATGGGTTGTTCCTTGACAGGCTGCGATAAGAAGAGGGCAGGGGTGAAATGCTACCAGTTTGGGCGGACCAGTAGTTCTGACGATCAGCTATACAACAATCAGCTGTGCTGTGGAAATCACATGGCGCAGCTGATTGTGGCACAGCTGATCGTTGGAACTTTTTGAAAAGCTTTTTAAAGCATTTTTTCACTACTGGTTCTCCCGAAGCGAACCAGTAGCAGACTTCAGAGCATTTTATCCCGGAAGAGGGAGACAACCATAGAAGAAGGACAGGAAGCCAGCCAGTCTGGGAAGGTTCCTGACATAGGAAAAGGGCAGTGGTGGGTTGCAGGCGGTACGCCCCGGTACGGGCATACCGGAGCCTGCCCGGAGCACCAGGTATCATTCTGGTAGGGTGCTCCGGAGGGCCCACCTACCCTCCCTCGCTCACCTGTCTTTAAAGTCTTCTGGGCTTCCGCGCACAGTGTGTATAGCGCCTGCACAACACTCCGCTGAGCAGCTGGAGCATCGGGGAGGCATCGCTGGATAGTAAGATGCATACACGCGCTGCGCACATTCATGTGGACAGCGACGGGCCCGTTCGAACCGTACCGGTTAGAACGGGATCCAGAACCCACCCACTGAAAAAAGGGGACAGCAGCTGAGAGCAGACAGGAAATCCCTCCCGTCAAAAAATAAATAAAAAAAACATGTGGTAGATCACATGTTTTGTTTGCTATTCGTTTTCAGTACTCGTTTCCAGAACTAAATAACGAGTAGCGAGATAGCACTGCGCAGCCATCAGGGGTGCCTTTCAGAAGAAAGCATGGGTAGCCCTCGGCCTATGACCGCAATGGAGCCAAGCTTTCTGTTGCTAAGCGAGGCTTTCTGTCGTTAAGTGAGTTTCACCCCATTTTGGTCAATTGAATTTTGACCGTGTGACCCTGGGGAGACTGGAACGGTCGTTGAGTGGGAAAAACGGTCCTAAGCCCCTTTTTCGGTGCCGTTGTAACTTCAAATGGTTACTAAACAAGAGGCTGTAAGTCAAGGACTACCTATACACATCACACCCAAGTCATAATATGTATATTTGTTGTTGTTGAAGGTTTTGCATGATGGAGGTACTCAATTGTAATGCTTTAGTGTTAGGGAAAAATCAAAACCATTATCGCTTGACAAACCGTGGTCCAAACTCCTGGGTCAATATCACATACACAGTTAATCTTCTTCATATATATAGTACAGTACAGTAGAAGCCATTTAAAGGCACAACAGTCTGCATCTTGACAGAACACACACCCTGAGCAGTGTTAGGGGTGTCTTATACCCTGGCTCTCTGTGTGTGTTTGTATGTTCCAGCATAACTCTGGAATGCCTCGAGCAATTTAAAACGAACTTGGTACACAGATAACTTATTCTCTGGAATGCCTCGAGCAATTTAAAACGAACTTGGTACACAGATAACTTATTCTCTGGAGATAAATACTGTGAGGGTATAAGACACTCCTAACACTGCTCAGGGTGTGTGTTCTGTTAAGATGCAGACTGTTGTGCCTTTAAATGGCTTCTACTGTACTGCCGTAAAATTAATCTACCCTGTTTAGTGATGGGGGCTACAATTCCATTGCATTGCATAGGAAACTAGCTTATACAAACTCATAATTATCAGTCCATCTATCAGGGGTTGGCAACCTTAAACACTCAAACAGCCACAAGGGTCCTAACTGGAAACCCTCCATTCAATTCTGGAGCCAACCAGAACTCCGGTTCCCCCACCATAGAGTCTCCTCCTAGCGCAGCATCCTTTTTCCTCAACCTCTCCTAACTGAAAGTCCTATCAATTGTGGAGCCGATTGGCGACAGGGAGCCGCAACAGAAGGATGAAAGAGCCACATGCGGCTCCAGAGCCACGGATTACCAACCCCTGATCTAGATTAACGTTACCAAAATCTCTCAAAAAAACTATTTTCCCACCACGTTTGGAGATCCTGCGAATTGGACCAGAGGCCTTCTACAACCCAAAACATCTGTTCCACCAACGCCACAATCTCACTGGGGGATTACAGGTCATTGTTATTTTAGCTTGTCCCTACTCATGGGTCCAGAAAGAACGAATGTTTATCTCTTTACCAAAAGGTAGGATCCACTTTGGAGAGGACTCCAAGGGACGAGGATTCAAAAGAAGATTCAAGTGTCCTCTCTGAACATTTGTTGACTTCTCATCAGAATTTGGGATTCAGCCACATCAGATATATTTGAGAACCTTTGAGGCCAATTCTAAAGGTCAGAAGGCAACTCCAGATGCGAGTTTGACACGGGCTACCAAAATCTTCATCGCGCTTTTGTTCAAAGGTGGACAACTGGCTCCAAATGAGCTCCTCCATCCAGCAAGGAAGTCTCAGAAAGCTTCAAAAAATTGAAATAGTGTTTTTTGTTTCCCAAACTCGGCAGCGTGAAGACGCGCAGACTTCAACTTCCAGAATTCTGGGAGTTAAAATCCACACGTTATCAAGTTGCCAAGTTTGCAAAAATCCCAAGTTGGATCCTTCAGAAATGGATCCAACAGCAACAAAACACAGGTGGATCCTCAACTTACGACCACAATTGAGCCCAGAGTTTCTGTTGCTAAGTGAGAAGTTTGTTACGTGAACTTTGCCCCATTTTACGAGTTTTCTTTACTACCTTTGACTTAGAACTTAGAATAACTCTTTGGGGGTTCAGTGAATCACTGCAGTCGTTAAATTAGGCATGTTTTCCCAAAAATAAGACAGGGTCTTATTTTCTTTTGAACCCCAAAATAAGTGCTTGCCCTTATTTTCGCAGAGATCTTATTTTTGAGGTGCAGGAGGCAGCCCAGCATAGTCACCCCATGGCTGCTGCTATGCTTATTTTGGGTGGGGGCGGTATTTTAGGGCATGCGTTCAAAAGCCTGATGGGGTTATCATCCGGGGAAGTCTTATTTTCAGGGAAACAGGGTAGTAACACGGTTGTTAAGTGAATCTGGTTTCCCCCTTGATTTTTACTTGTCGGAAGGTCGCAAAAGATGCTACGTGATCCCAGGACACTGCAACCGTCATAAAGATGAAGCAGTAAATCACGTAATCATGGGGATGCTGCAAGAGTCATCAGTGTGTAAAATGGTAATGTCATTTTTTCCAGCACTGCTGTAACTTTGGTTACTAAATGAACTGTTTGTAAGTCGAGGAATATCCATATACCGTGTTTTCCCGAAAATAAGACATGGTCTTATTTTCTTTTGACCCCCGAAATAAGCATTTGGCCTTATTTTTGGGGAGGTCTTATTATTTTTGAGGTGCAGGAGGCGATGAGCGCGGTCACCTCATGGCTGCTGCTGTGTTGCAATATTTTGGGGGAGGGCTTATTTTTGGAGGAGGTCTTATTTTAGCACATGCTCTCAAAAGCCCAATTGGGCTTATTATCCGGGAATGTCTGATTTTCAGGGAAACAGGGTAGTATTTGAGCCCCGAAATTCAGTATTTGAACCCCCAGCTAAGAAGCTCTGGCTTGAAATCACTCGTATTTTTTGAAGGTATTTTGGATCTGGGTAGGATTTGATAGTCCAGAATGAGAAGCATTAATTCAAGACAGAGACAAAAAAACGGACCTTTCACTAAAAGAGGCAGCTGTCAGTTAAATTCTACTACAATAGCAAGAATAGGCTAATATAAATTTAAATAATACGTCCACTTAAATACATAGAAGATTAATGACACAGCAACTAATAGTACTATGAAAAGCCCCCCTTTTTTTAAAAAAANGTTCCTTACTTTGCGCCGTAATGAAAACAGCCAAGGTTTCTGGCCAGAGATATGATTCAGCCTTGGTTGGCCCCCCCCCCTTCTGTTCGCAGCAGAAAAAAAAAGCTGCAAACTTCAAAGAAAGCTCTTACCAGCTGGATCTCTCACTCTTCTTTGCCTGAAGAATGAGATATCTACCAGGTGTTTAGGCAGATAACGCAACTAGAAACCTGGGGGCAGCTCAATTAAGCCGCCGCCAACAGCAAGGTCCCGCCCCGGAAGTCCCAGAGAAGAAGTGATAGAGGGAGTTGAACCTGCAGGAACCTTGAATGAGAGTGACCATGTTATACTAGAGTTCAACGTAATGCAACCACAAGCAATAGAACATAGTGATACCAGAGTCTTAGATTTTAAAACAGCTCATTTTAATAAACTCAGAGAGAACTTGGGAAAGATTCCTTGGATGAAAATCCTAAAAAGGAAAACAACTCAAGAATCTTGGGAAATTCTGAAGAATATGATCATAAAAGCCCAGACCAGCACAATACCGCTGAGAAAGAAAAACAAGAAATCCAAGAAGAAACCAGCGTGGCTGCACAAAGATCTCTCTGACAAATTGAAAGACAAAAAGGACAAGTACAAAAAATGGAAAGAGGGACACATAACTAAGTCAGGATATAAGCAGATAGCCAGAATCTGCAAAGACGAAGTCAGGAAAGCAAAGGCTCAGAATGAACAAAGACTTGCAACAAAAGTAAAACATAATAAAAAAAAGTTTCTTCCAACATATAAATAACAAGGAAAAAGTCAAGGAAACAGTTGGTCCACTAAAGAGAGAAGATGACAAGGAAGTAACAGGCAGCAGAGAGAAAGCAGAGCTGCTTAACTCATTCTTTGCATCCGTCTTCATGCAAAACGAAACTATAGCCCAACCTACCAGAAACATAACTGTAAAAAACAGACTGGAAATAAAAGTTAAAATATGCAAAAAAACAGTAAGAGAACACCTGTCTGATCTTGATGAATGCAAATCACCAGGACCTGATGGATTAAATCCCAGAGTTCTAAAGGAGCTGGCAGCCAAACCCTACAGATGCTGCAGGAAATGTTTGGGGCAGTGGGCTTCTGAAATAATGGACATGGCAATGGTTGGAGAGATATTGCGACAGGGTCCCTGGAACATGGATCCCAACAAGCAGGGGGAGTCATTGGACAGTCCAGTGCAAGATATACTAGATACCAGGTGGCACAGAGGGTGGTTACAGTACCTTGTTTTATGGAAAGGTTATCCCCTGTCGGAGGCATCATGGGTTCAAAGAACGGACTGTAGGGCACCCCACCTGGTAGTGAGATTCCACCGCAGACATCCCTCAAAACCGGGGGGGGGGAGGGGTCCTTCAACTCCTAATTGACTGTAATTTTTTAGTGCCCAGATGCTGTCTTTGTGGTAGAGGGGCCACATGTCAGCTCCAGCTGCCATTTGACAACTGGGCCAGCTGCCAAGACTTGTGCTTACCAGATGGAGATTTCCCTCCTCCACAAGCAGTCCAGCTGAGAACTCTACAAAGCTCTTCATGATTGACTGCCAGGAGGTTTCCACTGAGAACATTCCAACTGACTGTGAACAATTCATGATTGATTGCCAGATGGTTTTCACTCTGGGTCACGAGGTGATGGGTGTGTGCATGTGCAGGGGTGAGGTTTAGCCTAATTACCAAGTAAATATAAAAGGTGGTGGGGAGCACTGGATGTAAGCTCTGACAATTTATTCATTGCCTTAGTGCTTTGTTGGTCAGTTCGTGCCGGAGGAAAAAGATGAATTGCATTTTCAAACTCTCTGTTGACATTCCATGCAGAGCGTCAGCGGAGCTGGATCTCAGATTACAGTAGCTGGGTTGAGAGGGATGAAACTATTGGGTAACGTGATTTATGACACAGACTGAAGGGAGGAAAGGAACACGGGCGAAGTTCAGAAGCAGATAAAGAAAGCAAAAAAGATGGCTGCAAATAAGAAATGCAACCAAGCCCAGGTCAACAAGAATGCCTAATGAAGCTGTT